CTACATCCTATCAGCAGCAATGCAACATTTTCCAATACTTATGTATCTCCTGTTACGGTGAGGTGCATGTCCTCCCTCTACATTCCCTGTCTTGTCAGCAGCCCTGCAGTGCTTACTTTATTACAATGGCGAATGCATGTTATCGCTTTCAGTTGCTGGTGCACTGCTGTGTAATTAGCTAACAAATCGCGAAGCATTCGGTGTGGGCCTGGCCTAAAAGCTCATGATGCTTCTCGGTTCTATGGCCTTTACAATGCAGCTGTTTCTGGAATAACTCTAATGTTTGGCTCTACCTTTTTCGGGATTTGATTTGCCTTAAATGCTATGTGAAGATGTTTGTTTGCTGTAATGCACTCTCAGTTTTAGGGAATCATCGAGCAACGATACGACAAAGCCTCCAATTCTTGCTGTCGATGAACAGAGCGAAGCGGCACAAGAAAAGCGGAGCTCATTCGTATGTTCGTTCACTGACAGAAAATTTTTGCATTGTTGTTCTGTAACATATGTGAGAAACTGCATTGTCATTGTTACATAAACACCACGGTTCGCAGGGAGTGGCGGATAACCGTTGTTCAGGAATAGAGGATAATGAGTTAGAAGTAGAAATGATAATTTAATATCGGAAAATAATCAGCAAGGATTGAAGAGAAAAGAGGCTGAAAAGTCAGATGTGGTTTTTGAGGATCGAGGGGAAAGCGGGGAGGGTGAGGGAGGGGGGGAGGGAGAGGAAAGGAGGGAAAGCCCTGTTGTTTGTTGAAAAGAGGAAGGGGTAGGAAGTGAAACGAATGTTGTTTTCACCAGTGAACTTGCTCACATAATTAGTATGAAGAAGCTATAACACTGAGCTCAAGGGAGCTTTTAAATATTCGAGTACATAGCTGTAAATGAGCAAATAAATCACTACGGTGCGTGTTGAATTTCAGGAAAAAACTTTCGACAACAGGGCTGAGGTGCAGTGGTGGGGCAAGAGATATTTTGAAATAAAAAGAATTATCCAAAAATTTGCTTAGTGCTTTTTTCTACTGAGCGTTTTCTGGCTCACCCGAATACATCTCTTGAAATATTTTAGGCGATTTTCTTCATTCTTTTGGTGATTGTTGCGGCAACGTTGCTTGTCCATGTACTTATTATATCCAAATTGTATTTTATTCCGGAAAGCTTAGCTATTGTTATTTTAGGTAAGTGGTCTTTTTTTCCATCTCGAGTTGATGTATACTTTTGTGCAGCATGATTTTCCAAGTGAATAGAATTTATCGCACTTTCGCCGATGCGACAAATGTTAATGGGAAATTATTTTGAAATTTAAATGCGGCTGTTTCTTTTGTGTTAAACATCGCCGGAGAACTTCTTTTTTGTGCTTTTGAGAACTTTTTTTTTGTGCTTTTGAGCCGCGTTAACTTTTTCCCCGAAGTTGCAAGTTTTATGCATTTGTTTGAAAAAGATCTATTTTCAGGTGCCTTGGTTGGCCTCGTACTGTCCTACAGTAAAAGCGATTGGACGCAGGTTGAAACATTCAGTCCGAACATCTTTTTTCTTGTTCTTCTTCCTCCGATCATTTTTGAAAGCGGCTATAACTTGCATAAGGTAGGTCGGCTGCTGCAAAATTTATTAATTTTCAGAGCTTTTTGAATGCAAAAGAGAGAACTGTTGGAGGAGTTTGGTCGAGCTTGATTGAATTTGAGGATATGTTTTTCAGGGTGACTTCTTCGCCAACATGTTCCCAATATTGTCATTCGCAATAATCGGTACGGTGATATCGGCTCTGACTATCGGCTCAGCGCTGTACATTCTCGGGCAAGTTCGGGCTTCAGTTCTCCTCTTAAAAACAGAATTTTCGTAAAATTTCTGGCCTTTTGATTTTACCCTACCAGATGTTTGAATTGAATTAAGTTGCTAATTATGGTTATTTCTAGACGAAAATTTTGAGTGGTAAAAATCTTCTCTGTCGAAGACTGGTTTGGTTGTTCACAGTGATAAAGTGGCCGATCATGGTGCCAGTTATTTAAGTTCACCATACGCTGTTCGGGAGATGATAAACCACCCAATTTTGTATCTTGTCGTACCGACATTTACTAATGCATAGTGATAAATAGCGGCATGGTCCGTTTATCGCATTCGTTTCAAAATGGCAGCTGCTATCTGTCGGCTAATGTTTTAGTATTTGAGAAAAGTGATAAATGGTAATGGTAGAAAAATTATAATAGTGAGATTCATCGGTCTGTCTTATTTTCCGTAACAACCGCAGTTTTCTCCAACTCCTTCCCTCTCTGGCCGCTCCAGTGATATTATGGGTGTACTGAATGTTTGCACCAATATTGCTTGTCCACGATAGAGCAACTTTGGCCAAAAATTTTTTCATCGCCACTTAATTTACAATTCCTTCTGTAAATTAGTTTAAAATGTCTAGTTGCTAAAAGCCGTGTGGAAGGGAACGTGTCTGTAAAAAGTGTGTCGTTCACCAGCTTCCTCTATTTGCTGTTGTTATTTAGGCAGATCTCATATACAAAATTACGGCGGCGGAGAGTTTCACATTTGGTTCGATGATTTCTGCTGTGGATCCCGTTGCCACGCTTGCTATATTTCAAGCATTAAATGTTTGTTCTCATTAAATTGGTTCCGATGTTTGTGTTTATTGATGAGGATTATTTAGCCGAATGTTAATGTTGTTTCCAAATACGAGGTACGATTTCCTGAATACCTCCGTTGATTGTGAGCACGTATTATCACATCCACAATGAAGGAAAAGGGAACTGTGCATAAGTTAGCACAAGTGGCGGAGGGGATGAAATGTATCAGGTATTCCGCTTGCAAAACGAGAAGGGTCTTCAATAGGCAGAGGGACAGCGGTCTAGAAAAGGTTGCCAGTAGCATGGACGATGCGAAAGTATGCTACAGAAACATTCCTGTTAATCGGAGTTAGTATTATTCGATGGTAATTCTCAGTGGCCACGGAAATTCTTCGGGTTTGAGATGCACTAGGAATTCTTTACAATGCGACATGTTACTGTTATTCAGGTGGAACGGATGCTGTACATGCTTGTGTTTGGGGAATCA